GCTGAAAATTATTTCTTTATTTTCTTTGTTGCCTTATTTTACTTTTTTCTTTTTTTTTCTGTGCCTTCTGAACTTCTCTTTTATAAACTAATTTGTCTTTATTATGTTTATTTGTATCAGGCCAAAGAAACCAAGAAGAATATGAGTAGTTAGTTTAGAGTAGTTTCTTTATTCATCTTCCCAGACTAAAGACTTATCTGTATAAACTATTTGATATATTGTGCAAACCAACTGAGGGGAGGAAAGCCTTTGTTCTTTTCCTGCCTATCGGTTCCAAGATATATTGTGTCTTTGCTCCCTGAATCATCCCCTCCCTCGTGATTCTGGATTACATTCCACCATAACTAGAAATGTCAACAAAGTAATTTTAAAAAAGGCTTTAGACTATTAAGATGACCTATTCAGATGCATGCATGTATGTATGTGTGTGTATGTGTACATATGTGTAGGTATGTGTATGTGTGTGTATATATATCCATGTAATTGCACTAATTATGGGAAATATTTAGTATAAGATATTAATCAAAGCTATATTATCAATGACAAAACCAGACTGCTTAACATGAAATAGTTTGTCTCTAAAGTCAAGAATTCTTATTTCATTAATAACTGACCACAGAACTATAAAAATATTCTTAAATTTTGTGGCAAAATATTTACTAGTCTTTTGGGTTTCTTTTGAGGATCTAGTACTGATATATTCAGAAGAATCTTTACCACTGATTTCGATTTTTTTAAAATCAATCCCACATATGAACTTTTAAAATTTAGTTCAAGGAGGCATTTTTATTTATCCTTGGACTATTAGATCTGGAATGCAAAAGTCCATATGGCCACTAGATGGCAGTTAAGAACTGTCACATGATGCTTCATTGGATTCCCCCCCAAGCCCAAATGTGATAGTAATTTTCTAAACAAGTAGAGCAATCTAATAAAGTATGTACTCTCAAAAGCTAATCTTTATTTTAAAAACTCAAAGACATTTAAATAGCCATTGAATGAGTCAGTATTAATTACTTTAGGATACTGTGTGTTTACTTATGTTAGCCCAGCAGCTGTTGTAGATTTTGCAACTGTAATTTTATTCTGGACTGTATTATGTTACTTTATCTCAAATTGTCATGAGTATATATTGAAGATGCAGGAAATCAGTAAAAATGTACTGTTATTTTTTAAGCAAATAATTCTCTTGCCTTTTTTAAGCCAACACCCACAGTCAATATTCAGTTTTCAATCACTGACATACTAAAGTATTCAATACTTTAGGACAATTCAGACACCAAATCCAAATTTCATAGAATGATATGCCTTTAACTGACATTTAAATACTGTACTTAATGCATTATGTGTCCTAGCTTGATGTGAATCCTCACACATAAAATATGGAAAGGGAAGTGTAAAAAAAACCCAAAAACCAATTTTGTTGTATTTAAGTACAATGACAATAAAGATTATACTTATATACCAAATTATCCAGAAGCCAATGTATGCAATACCAAACAATTGTTAGCTTGATTTTGTAAAAGTCTTGTTTAAAGTTGTCAGCAAATTCATTTCTTGCCAACAAATATCTAAGAGCTCGTCAACAATCTCCCATCAAAAACACATGGATACATTTAGTAATTCCACACTAAAGGAAATGTCCTCTAAAAGGTAAGTACAAAGTAAGAATAGGTGATCAGTTCTCATACTTTTATGGAGGGGGAACCCCAAATACTTCACATTTACTTTTTCATTTGTTTATTTGATGTGAGATATAAATAATTTGACAGAGATGAAACATTTAGGATAACACAAAATAACTGGTGATTAGGATGGGCATTCCAGCATGAGAAAATATGAAGTGATGAATAGAGTTGAAAAATCTACAATATATTTGTGCTGCCTGAACTATTAGTGGCAGAGCAAAAATAGAATTCAGGACTGTACAAAGCAGCAATATAAAAAAAAAGGGTAATACACTGAACAAAAAAGAGAATAACACGGTCATAATCTCTGCGCAACTCTGTAATCAAATACGCAAGATGTTTAGGCTTTGGCTCCTATCAATTCCAGTTGGTGGCAAGGTTTACAGGAGCTGTTGTGTGAAAATGTAGAATTGTTGAGAAAACAATTACTTGCCAAATGAATATACTACTTTGAACAGTTGAATTTAACTGAAGATAAAAGGAAATTTTAACTCTCACACCTCCTTTTCTCATTAAAGGTAATAATTGATAGTGAAACCAGTAAAATGTATATTTCGAGGTTTACCTTTAATATTATTACAATTCAACATATACTGTTTTCTGAATTATGAGTTGAGTTTCTTTTCACTTATTTAAATTCAAAACTGAAGATGCTGTATAAAATGCATTTTCCCAGATGTACCAGGTTCTTAGCACTGTATTAACTCTGGAAACTCTCCATAAAAATTTAATTCATTATAAGCAACTTACAACATTACTATTACAGATAACTGTTTACACAATCAATTATCAGAAACCATCCTCCAGATCTGCTCTCTTCTCTTGAAAATATAACAGTATTAGACTTAATGGAAAGTTTTCATGCAGATTTCCTCCTTTTTCATAAAAAAGTCTTGTTAGAAATTTCAGCAAAGGACAGTGCAAACTAATATTCATGTAACTTTGAGGGAAAATAAAATTCTGCTTATGCAATGAAAGGTTAATGTTACCCTACTTTTGATTTCTCTAAATCCTCTATTTGTATTTCAAGAAGAAAGAAAATGTCTACTTTAGAATCAGAGGCTGAATTAGCAAACTTCCTCAAACCTCCATATTCATGTGTGGTATGAGCAAATATGTGCACATATACATACATTCATCTCTGCTCAAGGAAAATCATCTATTGTATTTTATGTATAGCATTGTCAAATTAATCACAAAACCAATAGTTGGCTACCAGTTCAGCCTACAGCAGTGGTTCTCAACCTTGGCCTTTTTATGAGGTGTAGACTTATGTTCCAGAATTCTACACCAGCCATGTTGGATGAGGAATTCTGGGAGTTGAGGTCCACATCTCTTGAAAAGGCCAAGTTTGAGAAACAGTGGCCTAGTGTTTGTGAAATCATAACTATATGTGATGTGAAAGTTGCCATTTCCCTCAAGTTAAGGAAGTTTTATGTTTTGAACACCCCTTTGTATGAAAGTTAATCATGCCCAAGCATTTTCAATATAAGCATTCAATGAATTTATCTGTACTCATATTTACAGCAGGGCACAGGACCAGCTTTCCAGGAAAAAGAAGACAGTGAATTAACCAGATTTTAGAATCAATGTGCAAATACCAAATATAGCTTCTACTAAAAGATGTGGCAGCTAATATATGTGGACATACGCATTATGCAATAAAGCAAATTCTCATTATATTAAAGTCAGACAATACTACTAAGGGGGGAGCACATGATTTGTGCTCTATTAGCTATTTCTTTAAGCAGCTTTTCCCCCTTTAATGAGATGTTAATTCTTGTGCTGAATAAAAAAAGGAAACAAATTTCAAAAGTTCACAAGAAATAGCCCGCCATAATCTTTAGAACCAATCTTTGTTGCCACTCTGAACAAAACCCTGCATATTTGGTCTATGTGCACACATGCGCATACACACATACTCACAAACACACACCTGCAGTATTACTTCCCCTAACTAGGTGAATATAATTCTCATACAATTACAATGACACACTTTCTATACCATCCACATTCTGTCATTTCTAACAGCTTAGATCACATGAGTTTCATCATTATCAAAATCATGTTATCTTCAATAGTATTTTTCTTCTGTCAAACTACATTTTACATTTCTTTTCTCTCTGGTCTCACTAGCATAATACTGCATAGTTAAATGAACTGTTATTCCTAGCTGAGAAACAGGACACTGCAGTAGTCCAAGACAGCACATTGCCATCACCTTCTCTACTATAGCGACTCTACCATATTTTATCCAAGACATTCCTTACTGCTCTGCTTCCAACTCCATGATCCATTGAATGTACTGGGGATTAGAATGAAAAGTTTCCCAATTCCTCTGCACTGTTTTATGACTGCTTTTGTAGCAATACTATGAAAAATACATTCAAATGGGGGGGGGGCACTAAAACCATTAGACAAGTAGACATTCAATTATGTGCTGTCTATCAACCATCACAACAAATATGCATACTGTGACATGTGCACTGGGTTTGGACCCCAGTGTTCTCTGGGTGAAGATGACCCCAGGAAATTGCATAAAAATAGTTATTTGTCCAACCAAGATAATGTCTGTATAGCATTATGAAGAGTCATCTTTGGGTGCTTATGGCAAGCACTAAAGGAAATATTCTAGCAGCTGATATTTAGCCCTTGCTTGAAGCAGAATTACTTATCCTACCAAAATACTGACAGTATCATAGGCACTGAAGGCTTTGCAAAGATGCAGCCACGCATAAGAACAGAAAAACAAGGGAAGCTGCACACCCACAGCTGTTGACATCCCAAAGGAAACATGGCACTGCATTAGTGAATCCAAGAGGTTATCTATGCTTTCTGCAGAAGAGCATCTCTTTCCCCGGAATGAAATTTTGTATCCTCTTTCAATCAACTACACCGATCCTGTTATGGAGCACCGCTACTTCTGAATTCCTGCAGATTAGTCTAAATCCGAGGTGTGAAAGAGCAAGATGGCCCTGCAAGATTGGGGGGAGGGAGGGGGGAGTTGCAGTCACAGGGCAGCAGCAATTGATTAGAAGACGAGAACTACATCAACCCCATCACACCTTTCTAATGAAAGGAGGGAAATTAAGGCAGGCGGCAACACACCTGCAAAACCGAAGGGAATCCTCCTCCCTACCTGACGGCTCTCCACAGGCGCGGGACTATAGTTCCCATCGTGCTTAGCCGGCAGCTAGCCGGGTCTGATGGACTATCTCCGCAGCCCCGTTGCGCCAGGAGGGGGGAGAAACTACAGCCAGGAGAGCCTTTCCCGCCCCCCGGAGTCGTCTGCGCGGCAGCGGCGTCTCTTACCGAATGGTTCACTCCCCACATGAGGACGCTGAGCAGCGGATCGCTGGCCCGGAAGAGCTTGACTTTCTGGGCCACGAAGTGCTTCTTCTTGGTCTTGGTCTTACTCGCCATAACGGACACGATATTACCCGGGGCCGCCATGGGAGCCGCCGAGGAGCAACCCAGGAGGAAGAGGAGGAAGAGGACGGCGAGGGTCAGTGCCCCGGAGCCGCCAACGGGCAGGGGAGGGAAAGGAAGAGACGGCGGGAAAGGAGGGGCCAGTAAAAGCAAGCAGCCCTGCTGGCTGGCTGTCTCTCAGGCAGCAACACGTCGGGCGCTAGCGCGGCTGCGGCAGGGAGCGAAGCGGCGGGTTAGTCCCTGGCACGGCTTCTGCTACTGCTGCAGCTGCTGCCCCCGCAGGGCGATACCAAGAGCATCCTAGCCCGGACGCTCGCACCGCTCGCTGGAAGGGCCTGCGCTCTCCCTCTCTCTCCTCCCCTCGCAGGCCCCGCCTTCCAGCCTCTGGCCGGGAGGAGGCGAGGGCGGGAGGGCGCCGTCGTACCGCCCCCTCCCTCTCCCGGCCTTCTCTGTATCTGAGCGCCCCGCCTCTCTCCCCCAAGAAGACGCATCGCTCTCAGCGCGGAGTTGTAAGGCTAGAAGATCCAGCCGAGGCGCGCGCCTCCTCCATGAGAGCATGCGCAGAAGTTCAGGGCGTGCGCGGCAGGAAAAGTGAAGTCTTCGTGGCATTCTCTTTGCCCGACGTTGGGTCTTGCTTTCTCTTCTTCCCTCTTCCTAGGGCAGGTAGGGGATGCAGGGTAGCGGATGAATGACAGGCTTTCATCACCACAGCCCACAGTGAAGGGATTTGTCTTTTTTTTTTTTTGTAGCCAGATAGTCAAGTAAACAATGGGTAAAGGCTGCAATCCTAAATCCAATTCTTAGGAAGAAATATTATAAGAAATATATAGGATTCAGATAATACTGCTAAACCATAATGGTTTGAAATTAGGGTACAGTGTTAAGCCAACAATTATGGTTCATGCAGTAATCTATAATTTATAATACAGTTTCTCAACCTTGGCAACTTGAAAATGTAGAGATTTCCAGAATTTTCTCTGCACGCTACCTCCAGTAATATTGATGTACAGCTCTGCAGTGCATTATAAAAACTCAGTTCAATATACCAGTGATGGCAAACCTATTGCACATGTACCACAGGTGGCACGCAGCACCCTCTCGGCACGCAAGCCATTGCCCCAGTTCAGCTCCACCATGCATGCATGTGCACCTCCCACCGGCCAGCTGGTCTTCATATTCTGTTGTGCATGTGTGGGGTGGGGCATGTGCAGTGGGTGTGCACACATATGCAGGGCACATGCAGAGACATGCATGGTGGTGTGGCACATGCAGTGGTGTGCATGCATGCATGGGGCGTAGCGATGCACAGAGGCATGCGTGCATTGCATTTTGGGGATCCAGGCACACAAATGCGCATTCACGCACATGCGTTATGAGCACTTGGTTTGGAAAAGGTTAGTCATCATTGTAATATACCATACTTAAACCAGACTTTAGAACAATTTCCAGGCCTAGCCCAAATAAATTCATATAGTGTATCCTAACTGGCCCCCTAGGAAATCTCACTGCATTCTTCATCGTGATGAGGAAGTAAACTATATGGGATGTAATAATATCCTGTGTAGACAAATTGCAGGCTTTAAAATTTGTGGAACAATTTACCTGGAAGCATCATGGATACATATGTAAGAACAGAAGCAGGTATGAAATGCTGAATAGGTAAAGCAACTCTGCCTTCTAACAAATGCACTCAATATGGACCACAGATCCACTATAATCACAGCAACCAAGATCAGCTCATTTAATACCATTGTCATACTAACTGCTATCTATGTCAATGAGACCTAGAAATCTACAAGAATAATTCATAAGAGCAATGTCTTTCAACAATGTTGTCTCAGAAAGTTCTTTATATCTCATATCGGTCCCAAGTCACAAATGAGGAAATACTACAAACAAACAATTCTTGAAGACTCTTGAGATAGTCATAGAATGCAGAACATGCTTTGCTGGACATGTGCTCCAGATGAGTGAGCAATGTCCAGCAAAGATTGCAATCAATTGGGTACCACCAGATGGTTGGAGAATAAGAGGAAAGCTAAAAAAAAATCTGGTGCCAAACATTTCAGGAAGAACATCAACCTTAAATGGAAAGGTGAGATGTAGTCAAGTCTGAAAATTGTAGAATATGCTTGTAGTCTAATGTGCTTGGCACAGGATGCAATCATGATAATAATAATAGGTATATAAATAAATGTGGATAGATTGCACCATTGTTATCTGATTCAACAAATGTTACAAAAATTCAGTGTAAACACTACTTACAAACTATCAATGAAAACTGTGTTCAGCCATGGTAGTAGTCATAACCAGGGTTTGCAAGTCACATTAACGAAGTTTATGTCTGACACTGAGTTAAAACCAATGAAACAACATTTGTAGTAAAATATACGAGGATTGCACTGGTTGGACACAGAGCTTGTCAGCTGGAAAGTTGCCAGCTGGGGTTCTAGATATGAGGGTTGCTCAATGGGTGAATTCCCTTTACTTGCCCCAGCTCCTGCCCACTTAACAGTTCTAAAGCATGTACATATATACATAAATTATGTATTGGTTCCACAAAACACCATGCTGCTCAAATAATAAATGTGGCATTTACTTAACTGCATTAACAATTGTCACTGCAGGCTATTGGTGTCTCCCATTTTAGCACAGTACTGCATTACTAAATCATTTTTATTGAATTACTCTGCTTAATCCAGAACAGTGCTATTTCGGCTGTTCTGAATGTTCCCTGATATTATTATATTTTGTTACAGCATGGGTGCTTTTTACTAGCACCCTATTCAAGTCTGATCCAAATTAAACTAGTGGTGCTGGTACTAAGAACCTGCCAGTCACACATATACCAATATACTAGTATGGCAATGTTTTTAAGTAATTCTATGGAGGATCTTCTTCCATTTCTCACCAGAGTGCGTTAGTGTTATTATGCTGTGACCTCCTAAATCTTGACAATTTCTAAATTGATACTTGTTTTACTTATGGATGTATAGATAGTCCTCAACTTACAATCACAATTGGAACTGGAATTTCCATTGCTAAGCAAAGCAGTTGTTAAGTGAGTCGTGCCTGATTTTATAATCTTTTTTGCCACAGTTATTAAGCAATTCACTGCAGTTATTAAGTAAATCAAGTGGTCATTAAGCGAATTTGGGTTCCCCCATTGACTTTACTTATTTGGAGCCAGCTGGGAAGGTCACAAATGCTGATCATGGGTTCCAGGGATGTGCAATCATCATAGTTACATGCTGTTGGTTGGTATCTGAATTTTGATCACAGGTGTAAGGATCTATTGTAAGTCATACTATTTTCAGTGTCTTTGTAACTTTGAACAGTTGCTAAGTATAAGTCAAGCATTACTGCATACACATGAAACTGAATTGCAGACAATTATTTTAAATAGGCATGATTATATTTGGTTAGTTGTTAATAAGTGTTTACTAATTTTATTGGATGGATGTTTATCTAGCTTGGACTTATGTCTTGTCAAAAAAAAAAATAGCCATTATTATTATGTGGCTAATGTTTGGTGATATTCACAGCCTTTGGGGCTGGCTGGTAGCTCAACAGCTCAAGTCCTAACCAAGGACCTAGGAACTGTTAAGGTAACATTGGAGGATATAAGCTGTTCCAAGTAGGGTGGTTTTTTGTAGAATTATAATTATAATTATAATT